GGAGATTTGAAAAACAAACACATCACCGCTGCTTAAGAACAGACTGCTGACACTAAAAGGTCTTTCTCTATAGCCAACACTATTCAAAGTACTACTACAGAAGCCCCCCCCCCCACAAGAGGACTCCCAATCCAACAGAATTCGAACAGGAATGTTCGCCCTCCTCTACGCAGGACGCTTCAATGAGATGGACAGGCTCAGAATGCAAGAAGAGGAAGATGAGGAACTGTCTCTCACACACCACAAAATGTCAGAAATGAAGCACAATATGGCAAACTGGCAAATGACCAATTATACATTTGTTGTTTCTTTTGTTTTATGATTTCCTTTTTTAATTTTGTTGTCTCCACAATGAAACTCCATGCATTGGCCAGGAGATCCAAAAATGTTAGTGGTAAAAGTCAAAATCGTATGTGCAAGTTGACAAAAATTGACTTAATTTGCACACCTCCCTATCTTTGTATTTCGCCACGCACTTACCCCCCAGGTGCAAATCCCCCCCCCCAGCATTGCCCAGGGTCCAGACCGTCATCCACAGCCACATGCCTGTGTGTGTGTGTTGTCACACTCTGCCGCTCAATTCGCTCAGCCCTGAACCTTTTTTCATTTCTGATTGGCCAATCATGGTGACACCATCAAATGGTGTGACATATATGCACTAAGTGGCTGGTCTTTGTTTACCTGTCAAAGTATCAGGGCGTCCTGCGGCGGGAGAAGTGATAGCCATGAGGCGAGTGCGCGCGAGTGAACACAAGACAGTCAGTCATAACACTAACTCTACACGTGCTCTTTCGTCCCATCACCTATGCACTATTAATTTTTAACAAGGGATGAACAGTATTGCACATCGATGGTCAGACAAGCGATTAGGGAAGTGAGTCGAGGCTGGCGGCCTCCGCAGGGATGTGGCTAATACTTAAGTCTAGGCCCTGAAACATGCATCACACACATAAACACACACACGCATGCTTGCAGACAGTATACCACAGACCATCGTCTCCAGAACAGTCTGTCACATAACCACCCATAAAATCATCTTGTTAGACAAGGAATTTAATTTACAGTTATGCACATGACTCATATTATTAGCTTTCATTTTGTTTTTAGGTGTTTTCTTGCGATTTTCCTTTTTTTTTTGCCAGATTTGGTTTTGGTTTTTGTCCCACTTGGATTGTTTTAACTTTTTCTTGCATGCCATAACACTTTTTCTTTAGTTTGCAGTAATACGTTTAGTATCATGCTCAGATTTCAGCGAAACGGTAACAGCAGTTTCTCAAATCTCTCACTTTTGGACAGCACAGTAACAACAACTCATCCCATGCATCCCTTGCATTGCTTTACCCTTTATCCCTTAGTCCACTCACAGAGAAATCCTGAGGACTACACATACACACACACAAACACGTAAAATGCACACTAAAACCACCAACAACCTGACATAATATAATAAAGGGAATCCTTTATATTTGGTTCTCCAAACTGCCTTTGTTAATGGTTTTTCATTGACTTAAGAATTGTCTTTTTAATTTGAGATATTTTTTATATGTTCACATTGAAATTTGCTATTGGTATTATTTTCATCATGACACAATCCAACAAAAGCCGACCTCACAAAATAACTGGACTGCCTAGCTGTTGGTTCTTTTTTGCAGGGATTGTAAGCAGGGCTGAGACCCTAATCTCAGCCTCTAGTAACATTAGCTCTATGTACTAAAACCATATAATAAGACTATAACAATATATGAAAGTGCCTCTGTATTCCCTTCATGCAATTAGTAATAACTTCAGGTTCTCTTCCCACATATAAGCTAAAGCTACAGGGAATGGTAGCGTTGGTGCATGTGGAACCATTGGCCTACGACAGATCTTTATAGAAGACTGCAAACTTTTTTTGTAAAGACACAGAGAGAGATCTTATACATATATATTTATGATATATGCTCCTTTTTACCTTTTACTACATGAGCTGATTGGCAGTCTAGTTATTTTCTGACTCTCACCCAGCCCCCCCCCCCATCCCACAACCTGTTTCAGTAACATCACCTTACTGTTACCAGTACGAATCGAATGACACACGCCATCTGCAGAGCAGCATTATAATACCTAGATAAACATGTCAAAAATCGACAGTAGGTTTGAAGAAGAAAAAAAAAGTGTTTTTTGATGGAAAGTATTATTATTGAAAAATATGTGTCGATTGAGCCACGTGCAATGCATTGGGTAGATCATTGTGTTTGTCTGTTAGAGATTTTTAAGAAAGCTAAGAGAAAAGTGAAAAAAAAAGTATTTGTTTCAAGTCCATATGCTCCGGGACTCTAAACTAGAGGGCCATGAAAAATCCTAGTCTTTGTAAGTTGGGGGTATTTGTTTTTATTTCCTTTGTCTCTTTTTTAATGTTTTATGTGTAATCAGTTGTTTATACAAATGTGGGAGGGCTGAAGGAAAAAAATCTACATAACTTGAGAAAAGATTATTCTCTATCCGATGAAAAACTGGTGCTTTAACAGTATAAAGTACATTCAGAATTATTGTAAATGAATGGTAATGAACAAAAATACCAGACCATTTAGGAAACAGCATTATTCCTCTCTATTTTTATTCTTCTTCTATTTGTATTGAGTGGGGGGAGAGGCTCCTTTTCCTTAAGGTTGTGACACAAAAGGCATTTTGGTTCAACCTTTAGAAAAACAAAAACAAACCTATTGTGTTCAGACACTTCAAATGATTTACCTGTGCCCTGCCTGAAACTCACCAGCAGAAACCCTGTTACCCCTGTAATGCGGGAGATGCTTCACATCCAGAAATATTGTATCCCTATGATCATATTGATATGTTCCTGAAGCTAGAGCTGAATACAAATCAGCAGGTTGTGTTAAGACCCACTTGCAATGGAAATAGTATTAAGATAGACCTTTTGTATTGTGCGCAGATAACGGAAAAGGGGCATCAACATTATTGTAAAATCAGGAAAAAACCTGAAGTCTAAATGATTTTTGAAGCAGGCAGCAGGTGAGCCTCTCCCCTGTTCCACCCCCTCCTCTGTAAATGACTCTTATAGTGCTTGTGCTGTAGTGTATAGTTTCCCAGCAGTTAAAGGTTGTCCCTTAAAAGTGCCTTTTGTTCACAGACTCCATTTTGTAATCCAGATCGCCCCTCTTTTTTTTCCTGAAGCGGCTCGAGGTAGCAGGTTGCCCCTGAGTGCAGCGAGGAGGTAAAAGGTTGCTAAGCGCTCAGGGACTACTTTTTTCCTCCTGCCTTCGAAATGAATCCCCTCCATTGTACTTCCCCTATATCCTCTCTTCCTTATCAAAGCCGTATATATATACATATATATATATATAGTACAAAAGGAAACTGGTGTGAATTAGTTCTTTACTTTTTATTGATAAATGATGACAAAAAAAAACATTTTTTGAAAAGGCAAAAAAACTTGTTCTCGTTCAGCTCTTGCTTTTTTCTTCCCCTCTGTCTCCACTGTCTGTTTTCTCTTAGACACTGGAGTAGTCTGTAACTGTGTGTCCGTCACTCTCCGTCTCTCTCTCTCTCCTATCCTCTCCGCTGATGGGAGGGTGAAAAAAAAATATTGCCGAAAAACTTTTGTCTGAGCAGAATGCAGTTAGCTCACATGTTATTCTTGTCTGTATGCTTCACATTGTATTACCATACCCATCTTCTTCAGCTTCTCCATTCAACAGCTAATGTAAGTGAACAAATTACGCTGACGGGCTTTTGGGGGTGTCCTTGGGTGGGTTAGGAAAGGAAGACGGGTTCAGGGGTTTGGGTTGAGGGTGATTTACGGAGATTAACGGGGTATGGAGGGCTGGATGAACTGCTTTGGGATGTTGGAAAGGGGCTGCTTTGACTAGGAAAAGAGTTTGCTCTTTTGTTTTAGCTATTTATTTTCACCTTTGTTTTATCCCCCCCTCCCTTTTTTTGTTTAATTTTCATTTGGATTTCTTTGAATCTTTGCTATCAGGGTATGCTGTCGTTTAGGCTCTCTTAGAGAATGCCTTTGGACTGTAAATGAAAGCTACAAGCACCTTATGAGCGGACTTGTCCTGCACGGGGCTGAAAGAGGGGGGTTTGCATTTCCAGGACATATCCACTTAAACCAATCTTTTAAAGTGAAGTATTATTGTTCACGGTGGGTCTCACACAGAGAAACCCTCAGCAGTATTAACCATTTACAACACACCAACCATAAAGATAGAAGGCCAGCATGAACCTGATCTCTCAGATTTATTTTGAGGATTCAGGGAAGTCCCTCCATTTTTCTCCTCTGACCACCTCATGCTGGACTGCTCCGTGTCTTTGTTCTGTTGTTTATTTTTTGTTCTTTATCTTTTTAAGCGTGTATGGTTATCGGTGTATAAAGCAGCACCCTTAGCCCCCCTGACTCCCAGCTCTTCTACGCCTCTGTCTAAGCTCTCAGCGCAGCACCACTTCTTTGTGAGAACACCCCCAGAGCTCTAGGTGAAATGCATGTGTTAATTACAGTTTCTTTTCCATAAGAAGAAAAACACAGTTTGAGAAGAGCAGCACCTGATTGAATAAAAAGGATGTTCTTGACTGTATCATCTTGTTGTGCCTTTTCCTTCTTTCTGTAGACTATTGACGAACTAAGGAATCAGCTCTGCAGATGCATATCATATTAATATTATTATGTATGTCACAATAATCACAATATAGTTTACATACAAAAATCTAAGAATAAATGTCAGTAAACTTGTCTTCATGTGCCTAGCGCAGTATAAATATGAGCTATTACATAATGTTTAACATTACCTGCTACACTACCAAATGACCATTGTAAACATGTTGGCATGCGAACTTTAGCATTTGGCTAGGCTACAGCCTCACAGAGCAGCTAGCATGGCTGTTGACCTTTACTTTCATCGTAGCTATATCTATAACTATGTAGGCATACGTATTTTAAAACATTAACATTAATGTATTTTTAAGATTTATTTGTAGCAGACAAGCAAAGAAACTGAATGTTTAAAGCAGGCTTCAGTTAAGTTTATTAAAACAATCGGAAAAGTGACAATACAATTTGTTTAGAAATTTTCATTTAAATAAACTATAAAAAATAAAAATAAAAGCACAACAATTTTACCTGTACATTTGATCCAAGTACCCTAAGCTTAATGACTGTGAATGAAGTATTCTCAATATTTAGTACCCTGTTACACATGCTTCCATAAAACAAGCTCAGAGGAGAGAGACAAAAAAGTGCTAAAAATGAAGCTGCAGAGATCAACATGTTGTGACTTAAAGCTCAAGGTCAAGCTACAAAAATTATTCATTCTACAATTCCACCAAAAAAAAATCCTCATTCATAAATGCCCATGTCCATATAATTAAACATAATAGTTTGTAACAGTCTGTAAAAATTATCATTATGTATTTTTTTAAGAATAAGAGTTTTACGTAGCACTATTAAATATTTGGCAAAGAGGTGCATGAAAAAGCAAAGCGCTACATGATCAATTTAGCTGCAAATAACTTAGATGAAAATAAATGAAGGCTGAATTAACATATTTGAACATCTTTTGCCCCAACATGAAGCAAAGTGCTCAGTGCAACAGTACCATTTATCAGTGTTTCGGTGCATTTTTAGGAACCCGTAAATGCAGGTTTTAGTTTTTAGAGCTGTAGGACAGTTGGTCTCCAGCCTGGACCTTCTGAATGGCCGATCAGCGTTCTCCTCTATGTTTAGGACTAAAAGAAAAGAAAGTAAGTGTTTTGGAAAAGGGAAATTAGTAGGCTATGTAACTAAAAACGACCTACCTACCTATGATGTAGGCTCAGTTTCCTGCACTGGGTGGGACTCTTCATTATCAGAGGGATTGTCCTCTTGTCCATCCTTTGGAGGAGACTGGGGTCCATTTTGATCTATCAGCAGTGGTGGAGCTGGTTCACCCTGGAAGTTGAAATATTTAACACGGTTAAAAAAAAGTAGGGGTATCGCACCATCACAACTCCAGATTTTTGAGGACACACTTACCACTGCATGATGTAAAGATTCTGGTGAAGGACTTGTCTCTTGGACTGGAAGGTCGACAAATGGTATTGCAGCATACTGAGGGCACGGTGTAGGACGGCAACAAATACCCTGATTCACAGAGGGTGGAGGAGGGAGTGGTGGTGGTGGTGGAGCTGTTGACTAAATCAGAATCAGAATTAGAATAACTTTATTAGTTGCACAAAGGCGACATTTACATGTTTACAGCAAAAATAGCTAAATATTCGATAAGAGGCATGCACAAAATATTAAAGATTACACAGATTACCATTTACAAAAGTACACATCCAGATGGACAACAATAAGTACCTGTGCAAGTATTTAAAAACAAACAAATAGCATGTGGAAAGTAGTGTGATAGCATCCAGATAACTGTAGTGAAATTAAATAATATATTGCAGCTGATATTTACAGATGTTGTTAAATAAATTGAATAGTCTTACTAAGAGACAGCAGCCAGTAATGATAATAATCGTAAAGCGTATAAGTCATATTGCACAACAGAGGTTTTATAGCTGTATAATGGTGTTGTAAATGACTGACATTAGGATAAGCCAACTCCACAACTGTATACAAGACTAAACTGGTAGGCTACTATTAGCCTCTGGACAGAGCAAATGAATAAACACGCTTCGTTATTAGGCACAAAAAACAAACACAAATAAATAAACTGAGCACTACAGCATTTACCTGCAGGATCTGACTTTGTCAATAAACACTTGCTTTAACCTCTTTCTCTTTGCATGTGTGTGAGCCAAGACGATAACCATAACAAGACTGCTGTGCTCTATTAACAACATACACTTTCCGTGTGGGTGAGTTTGAGTGAAAGGAATTCAGATTTACATTACGTTACTTAGCTGGCATCAGATCATAATGTGGGGAGTTCAAAATGAACGGGAAATGTCATAGAATTTGAGTTTTTAAACACTCAGATTAAAGGATTACTGGTGGTGGATGTAGCTATGATTTGAAGATGTATGTAATACAGTAAATATGGCGACTCCTAGTCCTATAGGCATTTTATCGTAAAAAACCCACACCCATGCAGCACCGCAGAAATTAGCAGGTAAGGTAAACTATCCCAAATGTTAAATATTTCGCTAGGGCTACAAGGCTATGTATAAGAACAAAATATGTGTTACTACTAGGACAGTGTATAATTATTACGATGTCATGCGTTGCCTGTTTCTCGTACCATTTATCAGTCCTTAAAGTATCAGAATCAGCACTGGACGGAAGTGGAGCAAGGCGAAACACACAGAGGTCAGAACAAAAGTTTCTCTCCATTAACAAATGTTAACAAAACAAAATAACAGTGGCGTGCCGTGCCTTCACAGTCTTCATTTGCTTCAAGTTAGCTCCTAACTTACTTCACATCCCGTCCGAGAAAGCTAACATCCTGTACAACTTCAGAGTAAAAACAAATAATAAAAATCGGACTGCCATGTGTATTTGTAGATGGAAAAAAAAAGATACCCTAAAATATTGGCAAAAATTGTATTATACAGGTCAATATTAACTGGGTTGCGAACAGTTTTGGGGGAATATTAACACACAGTTGTGTTTCAACAATCATAGAGATAATTCGGAGTTTGATTTGTATGGTGTTTGCACTTATTGTAAGTCGCTTTGGATAAAAGCGTCAGCTAAATGATATGTAATCCTAATGTAATGTAATAATAATTCAAAGTGCCTATTTGTTTTTACAGGAGTCAGCCTGAGCCTGTGTTTGAAAAATGTTTTTGTAAAGTCACAAAGCTCAGTTAAACAGAGTAGAGACATGTCATTAAAGCACACAATAAACAGTAAATCAGCATTGCCCTGCTTAATTAAATATATTTCAATTCAAATAAGCTTTATTGGCATGACCGTATCAAAACAAAGTGTTGCCAGAATGACCAGAACACATTGTACAAGGTGATACAACAGTAGCCTTAAACATACAAAAATGATCATTGCTCAATTAGTTAACCTCTGAATGTTATGAGTTGGCCTTTATATGGTTTCCTATAATAACTTTCATATTGTCGTATAGTATTTTGTACAAACTCTCTAAAAGGACACACACACACACACACACACACACACACACACACACACACACACACACACACACACACACACACACACACACACACACACCTAAGAAAAACGTTCTAAATATGATGATATGGTATAGATTAAAACCATCCAATATTATATTTAAGTAACTAAAACCAGGAGTGGGTTCACAGAAAATAAATTGGAATTAAGTTCAGAATGCCAGCTTCTTAAATGTGAAAATTTGCTGCTTTTGGTTTAGAAAGTGTTCATTTAGAGTAAATGTACTTTTACTCTAAATACTTTATTAAGTACATTTTCCCTCAAATACTTTAACATGCAGTACCTCTTCTCGATGCAGTACCGTGAAATTGAGTAATTTTAGAGTATATTATTACTACTTTTACAGTACTCAAGTAAAGATTCTGGATACTTTTTCCACCACTGCCAAATGATAACGCTTAAAAATGCTAAAAGCACTTATTTTGAAAGTCTGAGGCGGAAATGTAGTGTTGTGCAAAGTTCCTGATGACGGTATTTCCGGTTTGTGTTTACATCCAACACAAGAAGGCAAAACATAACCAGACTCACTTTAAACACCTCGGTGTGACGGTTAAAATATATGTCACTAATCGTTCATCCATACTCTATGTAACAACAAAAAGGCGTTTCTTCCGTCTAGAGAGCCACGTCGCGTCTCCCGTCGTGTTTCCGTCAAACTCCTCATGCAATGACTACAAACTATCAGCTAACAGCGAGCTAAGCTACCGACAACTCGTCCAGACATTACCTAGTTCACTCCTGCTCAGTGCCCGCCACTCAGAGTGAAGTCTCTCATGGTGGTCAGTTCACTTTAATGGGTAACTGCCTGTTTTCACAAGGTGCGGATGACCTGTCGCTGCTGAACGAGTCTGAGGGGGGCAGTCTGCCCGGGGAGCCTCCTCCGCCCTACCAGGTGAGGAGCCGGGGCTCAGCGCCACTGCACCCCGGGGACCAGGAGCATGGCACCTCCATTAAATAAAGTCTACCAATCACTCTGTTTTATTGCTCTCAGCCTGTGGTTGAAGATAACTATGTACATTTACCCAAGTACTTAACTCAGGGGAATTTATCACTTGAATGCAATGTTATACATACAACTTTACTAATATTTAGTAAACTTTCTTTTCGATTTCTCTGTGTGTGATACAAGCAGGGAGGCCGTTTCTCACCATCCAAATAATATAAATATATACATATATGTATATATACATACATACACACATGAACACCCATTTATTTATATATATATATATATATACACACACGACAAGATGGTCATTCTTATGGTGTTGACAGAAGCACATGACCATCACCATTCATGATGTCTCCCTGCTGACCGCCATGATCATGGCACGATGGTGCCAGAAACATGTTGTTGTTATCCAATGGCATCTTCATAAATGACTTGTATTGTCTGCTCTTCCTTTTTTTCTCTAGGAGCGCACCCAGCATGTGCCAGTGTACCATCCCAACCCAGGGGAGAGTCGCTCTGCCTACCAGCTGACAGAGGAGGAGCAGGTCCGCATCGCCCAGCGCATCGGCCTCATCCATCACCTGCCTAAAGGCATCTTCAATCCGGGCTCCGATCCTACTGACAAGAAAGTTAAAGAGTGAGTCTAAAATGTCATTATTATGTTTTTGTAACCTTCTCTCTTTGTTTTGTCTTTGTTTCGGTCAAACACAATGACCGAGTGTATTTGGTATCATTTTTTTAAATAAAGCTCCTCTCTGAGCCTTTGGTCAGAACATGATCCTGTCATGTTCAGCTAGTATAAAAGTATATATATGTTCATTGACTACAAAAAAAGATTGCAGTCAACATAATGATACTTTATTCAACATATTGTACAGCAGTGGACTTACATTGACAATGTAGATCAGAACGTGGACAGGTGCACAGCCCTACATCACCACTGTGACGATAATCTACACTTCTACACAAGAGCCTGCAATATGAGGCCTTCTAAAAAATGGAAAAAAATAAACAATGTACCCCAAAATACCAATTGCATCATCTGCTCACTTCAGCAAACCTTAGCTTGATTTTCATTTTGTAGGGGTTGTTGGTATTTGTATTGTTTGACACAAATTGTACTCGCATTGGTTAAAATTAACATTTTGATTAATGAGGATATATTAAATATCAGCAAGGCGTCTTGAAGTTTACATGGGTCTACATCATTTGTCTGATAACTTGTTAAAGTCATTGATTTAAACTAATAGTTGAAAATGTATCTTAATACTTAAAGACTAGGAACTTCCTGTTTCTCTCTCCACCAGGTGTGTGATCTGCATGATGGATTTCGAGTATGGCGATCCCATCCGGTTCTTGCCCTGCCTTCACATCTACCACGTGGATTGCATCGACCCCTGGCTGATGCGCTCCTTCACCTGCCCCTCCTGCATGGAGCCGGTCGACGCAGCCCTGCTGTCCTCGTACGAAACCATCTGAGCCGCTCCATGCTGGCCGCTCCTGCCTGAAAGTAACTGCACCTTTATAGCCGACACTGTCCTAGCTGTTCAAACTGGTAGCCTCAGTGATGTGACATTATGCAGATGTTTGAAGGGTGTTTTAGATGCACACAGCTGTAGAAAAACTGTGCCATACAGTACATTGCTTAAGTCTGATATGCACCTATTTGGAAAATGTTTGCCTTTTACAGTTGGACAATGTGCCAAATCAAGCTAGATGGAGAATATGTAAAGCTGTACACGTAGCATAATATTACTGTTAAGTAATTTCACTTTTGTATGACAGTCTATTTTAATTTGGGATTTCTATTCTTATGGAGTGCATGTCACCAATTGACTTCCCCCTTTCTAGATGTAATGTGCAATATGTCTTATCAATAGAGAAAAATGCAGGAAATCTCTCTTTGATCAAGGGAAGGAACTGCGTTTTCAGCAACATGTGGCCTTTAATGTCACAAAAACACAGGCCTTTTATTCTGATATGCAATCATCAAAACACAGAAAAATGAACTTTTCTGAACAAAGTTATGCTAAGAGGTCCCAAGACCATTAGTCTACAGCGCCAAGATATAGGATGTTGTCGTTTTGGATTGAAGTTGTTTGAAGATTGAATCTATTTAACTAGAGTCTGGTTGTTGGTACTGTCGGGTTTCCTTTGAAGCTGCTTTTATAAATGAGCATATGTTATTGCCTTCCCACAATATGGATCCTTCCCTTTGCTTCCTCGAGTTCGTGCTGCGTTTTGTTTAAGAAATAAGCCTTGAGTGTGTCCTTTGCATTGTGTCATGACATTTACAAAGAAAGAAATGCTGTGCAATCCCTCTTAGAGCACATTGGGATTCTCTTCATCTGGCTCTCTGTAGCGTGTACATGTCATAGATGATTGTTGTGTGTTTTAATGTGTGTTCTTTAGGAGATTGTGGGTAGAGGAGGTCATATTGTGAATTAACCTTATCAACCTTAACCTCAGTTATAGATCTTGTAATAGTTCCCATCCTTTTGTTTTTAATTTAGAGCTGTTTTTAATTACCTTCTTCTAGCAAGTGATGCATTATAAGAGCTCCCTGGTGTGGTCTAAAAAAAAAATGCTCTTGTCTTTTGGTATTAGACATGTACTGTATCTGATACTGAATGCGTCATTTACAGCACACACAGTTAATGTAAAGCATTTTTTCAGCTTTTAAATATTTAGACACTCAAGTGACAATAAGAGGACATTTCTGATTTACTCAGGCTGCTGTGCCTTTTTAAGGTTGAGGTTAGCCAATTCCTGTGAAGTACAATCATTTCTGACATGAGTTTTGTTTTTCTTAAAGTTATCCCCCAGGGGAAAACACATACCAGCACTGCACTGATTTGTTTCACGATGAATTAGGCCAGAAATAAAGTCAGAAATTGGCTCTGTCTGCTGTTAACAATCAGTCTGTGTTTTAATTTATAATGTTTTCCCTGGTGAGAAGATTTTTAGAAAAAGTCATGAAACCACAATAAAAGTGGAAACCAAATTGTACAAAACAATCATGTGTCATCTTCTTTTTTGTGGTAAATCCAGATAGGAGTTATAGTTGACTGTTTATACACTGTTCAATAAGACCGAGGGAATGTACTTTGTCAAAAGGTTTTATTAAAAAGGTTCCATATTTACTGTGTTGAAAGCACACGTATTGCACATTTAGTTAACACTGGATTAAAGTCTTGGACGGAAAATAGAATCAAAACATCATTACCCATAACATCTTAAACCTGGTTCACAGTGAAATTACAAAATATTTACATTATTCTTTTCATTTACAAGAGTTTTAAATCTTACAATCTTTTCATCGCCTTACAGTAAAAGAAACAGCAACTGACAAACAAAGTATTTCTTTATGCATCTTCTCTAAAAAGCATAAAGTCCTATACTGACTGTGGCCAGAGCCACAAACAGCCCCATTACCATCCTGAACAGTGGGGCCGTTTTGCCGATGGGAATCTGGAGTGTGTCCACTGATTGTGTTGAACAAGTCTGCAGCTTCTGTTTAGGGATGGTCAGCAGCATCTTCTGCAAATCATCAAAAACCTGTAAAACAAAAACAAGAAGGTCAATCAGCTGCTTCTGGCAAGGGTCAAAGGTTAGTCCTGTAAGTTCTCCCTACCTGAATGTTTAACTCGAACGCCCTGACAGCCTCCTCCAGCATGCCGTTCCTCTCCTCCTCCGTCAGCTCCACGCTGTTCATCCGGCTGCGATACAGTTGTTTGAACAGGGTGGGGTTGGACACGCCAGGGAAGGCGAAAAAGGACAGGCCCTCGCTGCTCTTCAGCCCCATGGACTTCTGGGCGATTCGACCCAGGACCTGCCCTCCAGACAGGTCACCTAGGTACCGAGTGTAAGCATGGGCCACAAGAAATACAGGGTTTTCTTTACCAATCTGAAAAAAAACAAGGATGAGAGTTGTTTTTTCAGTATCAAGGAGTACAAAGATGTATCGTTTGTGTGTGGTATTTACATACATATATTTGATACAATGGAACATACTTGTCTGAGTCTGTGGCAGTATCTTTTAGTGGCTGCAGGGACAACGATCTTCTCTCTCCAGTCCCGGCCGTAGAAGTACTCCAGGTCTTTTGCGATGGCGTCCAGTCTGGCCAGTTCAGTGGGGAAGTAAATGGGTGCGACACCAGGGTGGTTGGAGTTCCTCTCCATCTCTTCCTCCAAGGTCTGGTACACCTCGTACAGCGAGCACAGGAGGAGCTGAACAAGAGAATATGGTTTCAAGACAAAAAGTAGCAAGTAGCCTACCATACAATAAGGTATGAATAAAAAGTGAAATCATCTTATACAAATAGTTTTAAATGGTGTTACCTTGTACTGTGCTAGGGTGACTTGTCCCCTCATGAAGCTCATCATCAGTTCAGTTTTTTCTGCCCTGGTGTGGATTTCCATGGTCACCTTTTTTATTTGTTCTGACAGATCCCTGCAAACAGAAAATGGGTAAGAGAGTAAGGCAGACATAAGTGTAAAGACTACATACATTAATGGGGCTCCAAAGTACAGACTACTTCATCCCGGCTATAAACTGAGTGAAAAATGAGTGCACCCATAGACGTTTATCTAATACATGTTCTCTCCTGTAGCTGATAACACTTTACAGCATAGTCAGCACATACTAATCTAGAATCATACTTGTAAACCCTGCAGCACTAATGCAGGTAACATTATCCAATCTCAGTGCAATTTCTTAATTTATTTATTAGAAATGTTGACAGTTTTACATCGGTAATAATGATTATGAATATTTCAATGTGTGGTATTGAAATATGCATATAGAATATATTTAGAGATACAATAAATCAGAGCAGCTCATCCTCACCTGTCAATCATCTGCTCTGCTGTTGTCTGAGATTTCTTCTCTTGCTCCATTTTGTCTCTGAAAAAAGTTCAGATGTCAAAAAAGTGCTTTTGCAGGTCTTCTTTTGACATGTCACCAACGATATATATGGGTTTAAGAGGTATAAAACATCTGCATAAGCTTATTACATTCAAAGTATGGCTAAAACAGCATTGTATGCAATGTCCTTTACTCACCAGTTCTGATTCAGTTCTGTAGGTCTGGATGTGTCCACAGTGGTTCTCTGTTTGCTCTCTATGTGAAGCCTGCAGTACAGTTCGTGCTCTGTGTGCCTTTAGTCTTCTCTCCCTTTTATACAATCCTCCTCTGACTCCTCCCTCCGGCAGCAGAATGAAAACAGGAACTTTGAATCTCAAAACATCAGCTAAACATGATCTGGCAACTTCAGCAAAAAACAGTAGGAGGGACTGAGAGTTAACATGATGCAGCAACTTTGATGGCAATGGGGGAAAGTTTTGAGGGAGGGACTTGAGCCTGAGTAGGAAGTTTTAGCAATGCCCTGGAAAACCAGAGGGAGGGAGGGCTGAGAGCTAAACATGACAGTGCAGCTTTGACATTCCAACGTTGGTACAGACTGGAGGAGGAGCCGACTCTAAACATGACTGTGTGTGAGATTCTAAAGCCAGGCCGAGGAAGTGTTGAAACAGTGACTAATAAATAGAGACAAAAAAACAATCACATGATTGTATCCAGAACACACACCAACGGCTTTCAGTTCATCTGAAAAATGAAGAAGTTTAACCACTTTAGTAGATCACTGATAAGCCTATCGAGGTTCATATGAAAAGTAAAAATATAGGCAGAACAATAGGCAATAGTGAGAAAGTAGCAGTGTACTTTCAAACAGTGGAGGCTGCTGCACGTATATAGGCCTATTCAATTAGTAAACATGTTATGGGGGGAAATGCTGCGTTCTGTTATTTAGTTCACACTTTTTCCAAAAACTGCCTGCCACTTTCAATGTATTGCAAAATCTATACGTATCGTGCAGTCACACGATAAGAGGGAGCTAACCCCAACTGTCGTCGTCACGCCTTACACGCAGATCACGCAGACTGCGTGGGGCCTCACCTCGCGGAGGGGGGCCTCACCTCGCGGAGGGAGCCTCATCATATAACTGCGTGGGACCACAAGTTGGCCAGGGGCGGCTCTGTCGATAATATTGTTATGTGGGGTTGGACACGCCAGGGAAGGCGAAAAAGGACAGGCCCTCGCTGCCCTTCAGCCCCATGGACTACTGGGCGATTCGCCCCAGGACCTGCCCTCCAGACAGGTCACCTAGGTACCGAGTGTAAGCATGGGCCACCAGAAATGCAGGGTTTTCTTTACCAATCTGAAAGAAAACAAGGATGAGAGTTGTTTTATTTAAGAATCAAGGAGTATGAATGTATTGTTTGTTGACATACAGTACATATTTACACTTTATATATTTGATACAGTGGAACATACTTGTCTGAGTCTGCGGCAGTATCTTTAGTGGCTGCAGGGACAACGATCTTCTCTCTCCAGTCCTGGCCGTAGAAGTACTCCAGGTCTTTCGCGATGGCCTCCAGTCTGGCAAGTTCAGTGGGGAAGTAAATGGGTGTGACACCAGGGTGGTTGGAGTTCCTGTCCATCTCTTCCTCCAAAGTCTGGTACACCTCGTACAGCGAACACAGGAGGACCTGAAGAAGAGGAGGTGGTTTCAAGATAAAAAGTAGCAAGTAGCCTAACATACAATAAGGTTTGAATAACAAGTAAAATAATCTTATGCAAATCGTTTAAAATTGTGTCACCTTGTACTGTGCTAGGGTGACTTGTCCCCTCATGAAGCTCATCATCAGTTCCATTTTTTCTGCCCTGGTGTGGATTTCCATTGTCACCTTTTTTATTTGTTCTGACAGATCCCTGCGAACAGAAAACGGGTAAGAGAGGAAGGCAGAAATAAATGTAAAGACTACGTATGGGGCTCTTAGGTACAGACTATCTACATTCTGGCTATAAAATGAGTGAAAAATGAGTGCACCCATAGATGTGTATCTAATGTTCTCTACTGTAGCTGATAAACCTTTACAGCATCAGCACATACTAAACTAGAATCATATTTTAAACCGCAGCACTAATGCAGATACAATTATCCAATCTCAGTGCAATTTCTTAATGTATTTCTTAGAAATGTTGACAGTTTTACATCGGTAATAATGATTATGAATATTGCAATACCTGGTCGTGAAATATACATATGCAATATATTTAGTGATACTAAATATCTGATCCTCACCTGTCAGTCATCTGCTCTGCTGTTGTCTGAGATTTCTTCTCTGTCTCCATTGTGTCTCTGAAAAAAAGTTCAGATGTAAAAGTGCTTTTGCAGGTCTTCTTTTGACAGGTCACCAACAATATATATGGGTTTAAGAGGTATACAACATCTGCATAAGCTTATTAGATTCAAAGTAAGGATCTGGTAGTTGGGTCCACAGTGGTTCTCTATTTGCTCTCTATGTGAAGCCTGCAGGACGGTTTGTGCAATGCCCTGGAACACCAGAGGGAGGGAGGGCTGAGAGTTCAACATGAAAGTCCAAAGTTGGAAGAGACAGAGGAGGAACCGACTCTAAACATTCCTGTGAGAGATTCTGAAGCCAGGCCGAGGAAGTGTTGAAAGTAACAACAATGACTAATAGAGACAAAAAAGCAATTTTACGATTTTATACAGAATATACACCAACGGTTTTCAGTTCATCTGAAACATGAAAAAGTTTAACCACTTTACTAGATCACTGATAAGCCTATCAAGGTTCATATGAAAAGTAAAAATATAAGTATAACAAGAGGAAATACAGAAAAGTAGCAGTGTACTTTCAAGAAGTAGAGGCTGCTGCATTTATATTAAATAAGTAAACATGCTATGAGGGAAAATGCTGCGTTCTATTATTTAGTCACTTTTTAAAAAACTGACTGCCACTTTCAATGTATTGCATAAACTATAAGTATCTTTAAGTGCAGTTAACCCCAACTGTCGTTTACCCACAATGAAATTGATAACTGGCAAATGTTGAGTCCATAGATCTTCTGGTGAAGCACCACAGTTGATTAATAAAGAAATATGCCAACAAGTTGAATGTATAATATTGTTATGCATATATATATGTAGCCTATGTTACTGCCATTAAACAATAAGCCAAAGTACAACATGTTGTATGCCTATGGAATATAAAAAATACGAGCAATCCAATTCTACTGAAAGAATTAACACTATAGGACCCTACACATATATGTTATTGTACATATGAACAATATGAACAGAAGTCTAATATGCTGTAAGCAGATTTATTGGGAAGGATTTTCACAGGATTTTGAATCTGGCTACATGGGTAAAATTGCAAACCCTTACAAATACTTAGACCTAATATGGTGTTTTTGTGTTCATTTAACTAATTATTATTGCATTCTTTAGCAATAAGATTGACCTTTATCTGAAATAAACTAAAAGTACACAGTGGGGACACTAAGTATGCCTATTAAGTTTAGTCACATAAGAAACGTTTTATTTGAAAAGATCTTAGTAAATATTACTTTAAAATAGTGAATCTTTATTTTTGAGCCTAACCTACTATTTCAATTTTTATTTTGGATAATATTAATAAAAAATGTTTTTCGCAGAACTGCAGATGAAATTGTTTCTGCTCTCAGCCAGCTGTAGCAATACTATTTACGTCCACTCTGCCCAGTCTTAGATCTTAACATGAATCAGCAAAAGGGCGGGTGATGTGCTAAAAAACGTGAGTCAGCAGATTTATACCTGCTTTTGTTCGGAGCTTTGACCTACTTGGAGTTGAGTGAGTCAACCCCGGGGCTATCGGCGGAAAAGATAGCCCAAATTCAAGTTGTTGCTTTAGATTGTTAGCTAGTCTACATGTTAGTTCATTTTAGTCAATAAACCGTATCATATACCAGTAGTCTCCCGAAATAACCTTGAAATGGATAAACATACATTTAGTTACTCTTAAAGGGTTAATGTCAGACAGTGGACGTTTCCAGTCCTATATTACTGAACATTCATGAACAAGAAGAACCTTGAGTGCATCCACTGTATACACTAAGCAGTATGGTAATAATGTGCTGTTGCAGGTTGCTCACATTTGAATAGAAAACCAGTGACGGCTGAGGTCTTACACAATAATGAAGGTCGATGCAACTTAGGGCGACAGTGACATTTCCCATTGCAGAACACTGACTGATAGGAACCATTGAAAGGAGCCAAAGGGCTTTTCATCTAAATTCAAAGAAAACCAAGTTTTTACCCGTCGTTAACTTAAACCTGGAAACGTCGACAACAGATTTTAAACAAGGCGTTTATCCGTGTGTTTTTATTTNCCAGTAGTCCATGGGGCTGAAGGGCAGCGAGGGCCTGTCCTTTTTCGCCTTCCCTGGCGTGTCCAACCCCACTCTGTTCAAACAACTGTATCGCAGCCGGATGAACAGCGTGGAGCTGACGGAGGAGGAGAGGGGCAGCATGCTGGAGGAGGCTGTCAGGGCGTTCGAGTTAAACATTCAGGTACAGAGAACCTACAGAACTAACCTTTGACCCTGTTCATTAAGCCAGAAGCAGCTGATTGACGTTCTTGTCTTTGTTTTACAGGTCTTTGATGATTTGCAGAAGATGCTGCTGACTGTCCCTGAAAAGAAGCTGCAGACTTGTTCAACACAATCAGTGAACACACTCCAGATTCCCATCGGCAAAACTGCCCCACTGTTCAGGATGATGCTGGGGCTGTTCGTGGCTCTGGCCACAGTCCGTATAGGACTTTATGCTTTTTAGAGAATATGCATAAGAAGAAATACTTTGTTTGTCTGTTGCTGTTACTTTAAGACTATGAAAAGATCTTGTAAGATTTAAAACTCTTGTAAATGAAAAGAATAATGTAAATATTTTGTAATTTCACTATGAACCAGGTTTAAGATGTTATGTGTAATGATGTTTTGATTCTATCTTCCGTCCAAGACTTTAATCCAGTGTTAACTAAATGTGCAATACGTGTGCTTTCAGGGCAACTCTCCCCAGGGTTGGGATGGTACGCTGGCACATGCTGGGTGCGTTCCTAGAAAAACAAAAGAAACAGCAGACAATATGCGTCATTTATAAAGATTGCATAACAACAACATTTTTCTGGCACCATCGTGCCATGATCATGGCGGACAGCATGGTGACATCATGCATTGTGATGCTCATGTGCAGTGTGTGATATTCAAGTAACATAATTCAAAAAAGTACTCAAGTGAAATTATTGAATTACATTCAGAGAAACAAGAACATATGATAACTTTGAAACGCCACATATATTAGAATATATAAAAACAGTGTTATAAACCAGCCCTTCAACAGTCAGTCGTTTCTCCAGTAGATGAGGGAAGAAGAAGGAGTAGCATCAGGAAGCTAGCAGGTGCTAATCAGTAAACCTGATTAGCACCTGCTAGCTTCCTGATGCTACTCCTTCTTCTTCCCTCATCTACTGGAGAAACGACTGACTGTTGAAGGGCTGGTTTATAACACTNTTCCAGGTTGTTGTGTTGAGAATATTCAGGGGAATATTTGTCATTGTTCCAATGATAATAAACAAACATTTGCATTAAGCATATTTGTCCACTCATATGTTGATAAGAGTATTAAAAACTTGAAAAAGATTCCTCTAAGGTACATTTAGAACAGATACAAAATGTGCGATTAATTTGTGATTAATCGCGATTGAATATTTGAATCGACTGACAGCCCTAGTTTGGACACATTGTAATGAGGTTCAGGGTGCTGGTATAACTGTAAACCTCTACTGTAAACATGGCCTTCTGAGCAACTTTGAAACCACATATCAAGCACTTTTC